TTGTCGGCTTTCTGATGGTTTTCTGGTGGCAGTCGGCCGCCGAGAAATGCCATCAAGATGTCTTGGTGGTGATTCTGATTGTACATCGATTGTCTCTGACTGTACGTCAAAAAGCTTTGACGTGCAGACAGACGTACGGTAAAAGGACGTAAAGTTCGTTCGGATACCACTATTTCGTCAAATCTATGAATACGAAATATAATCTATTCACAAGAAAACGATTTCGGGACGTGAGCCCATAAAACCGCTGATGTTAGAGATATGACACGCAGCCGACCGACAACCTTGATCAGAAGCCGGCCGAAACGCCGAACACTCGGCGTTTCATGAACGATCGCTGTCGACTCGTTTTGTTTGCCCGCTTGCTCCAACCTGTCGATCCTACCCGGACTCTACAATGTCTTATGTTTTAGTAGAATTTCTACTCGACAAGACCCAGCCTGTTGTGAGTTCCGACGATGTAAGGGACTTTAGCGGTGTAGTTGAAGACGACAAGGTGTACCAGGTCTACTGGGCCGGAGACGCGCGAACAAAAGGATCGTTCTACGACGCGAAAGTACTCTACATGGCAGGTGAGTAGAGCTGAAGTACGGCGAGTGATGTACGAGTGCTTTGCATAACATGCTGAAGACTTAACTGCATTTGCAGCCGAAGCATCTCGTTTAAAACGAATGGTCAAATCGAGTTTCCCACGGGGTGGCATAGTATAGAGGTTAAGGTGTCCGATTTGTACGCAAGTGGTCGCGGATTCGATCCGCGGTGGTCCTGCTTTTTTTTTTTCTTTTTTTTTTTCTCGAACATTTTGTTTTATCGAGGCATTTGGCGATATTTATGCGTGCGTATAGCTTTACTCTTATAGAAATGCTGCCCTTGTTGATGAAATTCCCTTGGAAGTGGCAATCAGACGTCATCTGATGGACCATCAGATGACGTCTGATGGTCCATCACGTTCCACCAAGGCCACTGACTGGCAGTCAGTGTCCCAAGTTACGTATCTTGATGGAATTTTCAATAGGGTGGCGCTTGATAATGTTCTTTGCTTAAGAGTTCCAGTGTGTTATTCAGATTTGACAAGTTGCTATTCCTTGTCTGACCGATGCTGTATGTCAATTTGTTAAATAATTTAAAGTGCTTTAGTTAGTCTAATCACAGCATTGCGACAGTATAGTATGCATGTTTATCTAAGTTGAGCCTAAAATATGTACTTCAAGCACCGCCAAGCATCCAAACAATACTAGTAAAATATGTATATATTGAATATTTAATAACGCGCTCTTTCAACACGCAGAAAACTCCTCTTCTGCGGTTTTATGCAAACGCAAAAGGTTCCTCACAATCTTAATTTTCTATTGTCTTTGCAATGCGCCAACTTGGCAGTCAATAGATTTTAAGTCGGTTCTACTTCTGCTAAAACCATTCGGTGTTTACGTACTATAATCAAGTCATATACTGGGGTAACGAAAATTCTCCAAATCGAAAGCAATCACGAAACGTTGGTCATGCAAATATATCATTCACAAATAAAAACAATGACTAGTTTATTGTAGAGCGCGAATTCAGTACTCTATTATGAAAAGTGACATATTGGCAAATTTGCGAAATAAGTTAGTCATCGAATTGTGCTTCATTGCTGTTTCAACACGGAATGTTATGTTTTAACAATAATCTAAAGACAATAACTAAAATTTAAAGGAGCGTCTTGCAAATGTTCATCTGCACAAACAAAACAAAAAAGAGAGAATAAAAAAGTAGTGATTGAGATTAATTTTACATTGAAGAGATTTCCCGAGTTGCTGCCTAATAAAACACCCTGAATGCATATAAAATGTAAATAGGTGGGCAGTAACCATCCATTGAATGTTAATCACAGTGATTAGCACTTCGAGACGGAGGTCAACCCGAGACCGTGTTGCGTATCTTCAGCATCAAAGTGCATTTCATTGCTTATCCAGGATATGCCCGCAGTGTTTTGTCCACGATACCAAAGAGACAGCTCAGTTCTATCCCAGACCACCCACAGTCGCTGTACACTTTCAATACCTTCGGGGCGTACGCAGCCAACCGTAACCAACTCCGTGTTTGGAAGTTTGGAACACGAAAGGAGGCCGGGGAAGCAGAAGGCGTGCCGACGACTGCCGATCGCTGCGCTTCCTTGCCGGTTGAAGCGCTGACGATCGCCCAACTGCGGCGCCTTGTAGACATGCGCTCAGGGCCTCACTATTGCTGGCGAGGTACCGTAGTGAGGTACCTCCAAAAGCGAGTGTATAAGCTTGTGGTCGAGTCAAACAGGCTACACGTTCACCTTTCATGCACGGAACCGCCATGATATAGTGATGGTTCTTTTCAAATTCTTGATGATGTGATGAGATGTCGCTACCCCGCGCACTATACCAAACAGGGTGACCAACGGGCGGCCAGCACTCAGTTGGCGCGCACCAGTTTACCGCCGCCTTTTTTGTTATAATTAATAAATGACGCACGCTCCCATTCGCGCCATCCAGTCTCCGCATATATATACAGCCTCCAGATATTTTCGTTCGTGCAGTATCGCACGAACGCCGACCGGCCCAGACGGGAGCCAGAATATCGCGTTCATCCCCATAGCGCCGGCTTTCCTGCACGGCATTCGGACTCTGCTCCTCACGTGACTGAATTCGGCAAATAGCAGCGCCGCGCGTTCGAGACGCGCGGCGCGCTCAAAAGCAGGGGAACCTACGCTGGGGCTCGTGCAACGTCTACTTTCCTGCACGACATTTGAGTTTGCTTCTCACGTGATTGGATCTCGGCGAATAGCGGAGCGGATGTGGGGAACAGACGCACAACTCTGGCTCCCGTAAAGGGGTATTCACACGAGGGAGAAATCCCGGGGATTTCTCCCCGGCACGCGCGCATCACGAGATGAAAACGCGAGGCTTTTGCACATCGCAAAGCCTGACGTTTTCGTCGCAGGATGCGCGTGCCGTGGAGAAATCCCCGGGATTTCTCCCTCGTGTGAATACCCCTTAAGGAGCCTATACAGGAACTCTAGACCGACCTGTAGATCAGCGCCTTATCGCGGCGTGAAGCAGCAGGTCAGCGAGACTACGCGCGTATGACAGAAGGCACGCGCCTAGCCTCGCTCACTTGTTTTTTTCACGCCGCGATAAGGCGCTGATCTACGGCTGGTCGGCGTTCGCGCGATATTATAAAAAAATCTGGAGGCTGTACACAGTTTATCCACACTAGCACATCACATTCTGCGTTACCACTGACTCTGCCACGCGGCAAAGGGGCGACTTTCGTTTTAATGATAACACGGGAGCGTCGACCGGTGGCCCGTCAGCGTCGTGTCACAAAGCGCTGCGGCGTTATCAGCGAGTGTGAGCGGAGCTTTGATATCACCGCAGAGCTCCGTGATACGGAATGGACCGGCCCGCAGGTCGACGCTCCCGTTATTTCATTAAAAAAAAAAACGAAAAAAAAGCAGGGCTGTACATGCGGCGACAATCCAAACCTGCTCATCCATTTATATACCCCATGTACTCATTCGCAGACACGCTCAAACGAACCTATGCTATATACACACGCGCGTGATTGTAATTATGTTGTATGTTTATAGAGTAGGAAGTTAGTCAGCCTCAACGGGCGTCTGGTGTCTCAGCTTTAGATGAGAAATTTAGCCAGTGCAGTACAACCGATAGCCTGGGGTCTTTAACGTGCACCACGTAGTAGTAATACACGACCGCACGCCGGTACAATGCGCATCTAGATTGAAACGCGATGGGCTGGGGATTGAACCCAGGATCCCTGGCTTCTGCAGCGCGAGCTTTCGCTCCACGTGCTCCGAGCTGGTGTGCGCTAGCCCACTCAACCACCAATCCCCCCCTCTCACATTTTGTGAAAACCCACAGAACTGGGTCGAACGTTTCGATATGACAAGAAACATGTTTCCAATCCCGCTGAATATCTTGGTCTATCAAAGACCAAAAGTTTCCTTCCGCCATCGTTCCAAAACGCAAAGGCTGTGCGAATGTTTGTCTATTCATACTTCGGGCTACAGATCAAATGAACAATGTTATTGTGCGAACAATGTTCCCTCCAGACAGGCTGTATGTCTCTCCGTTTTCTCGCTGACGCAGATGTGGACTGGAAGTTTCATATTTGAAAGATGCGATATGCGGAGATTTTCGGGTAGTGAGATTCCAGAGGAGAAATGCGGGTCGAGAGGTTCGAGAACCGCGGAGCCACTGATTGTAAAAGCGCTTGGTTTGTCATTGGCTTCTTTTCCGCTGCAAGTCTCTGTGGGATCCTAGACACCGCAGTTCATGGATTTTGCCTTTAAGGGATCTTTTTGCGCAATTTTTACGCACAGCACAGGAGTCACTTGGGAAAGAGAGGGTGAGCATCTTGTTCTGCGCATCACGCTGAACAAGACAAAAACGAAGGAAGTACGGGGAGCTTTTGCGTAAACATTATGCCAAATATTCTAAAAATTTCGAAAATATTATAGCTTGAGAACGCTCTCTTTTGCAGAAACAGACAACGTTAGAACGACAACGACCGGCGGTCATATTTTAGCGGTGTAATAGGGTTAACTATACAAAATAATTAATGTCCGGCTAAAAGTTGAGCTGGAAGTTTACGTCACAGACGCACAAAAATAAATTAAATTAATTTCATTTTTCCTGGGAGTAAAAACGTCAAGGTAGATTACCTTGAACGACCCATATGAAAAAAAATATTTTCAGAATTAATTATCTTCAGACTCTTGGTTCCCAATGCTTCACAAAAATAAACATAACTTTTTTTCTTTTTTTTTTTTGCGTAAGCTATCTTGCATTGCCCAAGAGACATTACTGAGGGAGAGTGTTCTATTGTATTTGTTATTTTCCTATCAAATTAATTCAGCACAAGCACAGGGTAACGGAAACATACATAAACGCTGCTTCATTGCAAATTAACTAAAAAAAAGTGCTTTGCCACATTGAAACGTCAATAGTTGAGCTGTAGTCAGACCAAGCTGCTTGAATTCAACAAATTTATTCGCTTTCAGAAAAAAAAAGAATTCGATTAAAAAATTTTGCATATAAAAAATAAAATAAAAAAACAATAAAAAAAACACGCCCTAGAAGCCCAAATCGTGTTCCTTCCAGAGCTCCATCAAGTCCGAGCCGCGAACTTTTTCCTCCACTCTGGCCCGCATCCGCTCTGACTGCTCCTTCGTGAAGTGACCTTTCCAGTCTCCCACTTGTCCCTTTCGGACGAAATTGAGGCTCTTGTCGCCGCCGGCCTTGTCCAACATAGCCACCTTGAACCCTTCCGAAACAGAGTTCGGATCCTTCTCAACCCTGGCCTTGATTTTCTCCGGGTTGACGTCCAGGAGCTTTTTCATGAACTGGACGTCGCTCTTGGCCAGAACCTGACGGAACATCTGCTCGTCCTGTTCGAGCATCCGGCCGTACTTCTCTCCGAGGAAATAAGCGAGTTTGAGTACGACAGCCCTGATGTCCTTTTTGAGTTGCTCGTACGTGACGAAAAACACGTTCGGCTCGTGTCTGCGCTGGTACCAGGGCAAGACGTGGTCGAAGTAATCCCCGTACTCCGTTTCCCCCTTGAGGAAGATGTCGAGGAAGTCCGAAAATTCGCCGTCTTCAAACTGGTACTCTGGAAGCATGCGGGTGTGGTGGTAGAAGGAGACGGCGCAGTCCTTGGGGTTCCGACTGACATAGACGTACTTGGCGTCCTTGTTGAAGCGTTTCTCGTCAAAGGGCAGGTGGGTGAGCATGTCCCGGGGAGATGGGGCGCCTTCCAGCACCTTGGTGCCCGCCATCTCCAGGAAGGGCGTCTGCTTCTGGAACTGCCAGTAGTCCTGGGCGGATTCGCCACGGTGCAGGAGAAGTTGGATGATCTGTTTCACCCAGTGCGTGCCGCACTTGGGATAGGACACGAGCACGATGTCTCCGGGCTTTGGTCTGAAATTGAGCGCCTCTCGAATTCTCTCGGGACTGTAGGAGACCGAGACGCGCATGCCGTCCACCATCTGGTACGCGGGACGTCGGGGCTCGGCCATTTTCTTTCTGGAAATGACAACATCACGATGGGACCCCTTAATTAAATTTTATAACCTCATCTCAGATTATAATTAATTGTAGTTTCATGTGAGGGCTGATGACATAAATGGCTGTGGTCTGGTTTTGTTATTTAGAAGGGACTAACGCAGCCATATAGGGCAGAAAGTCAGTGCTTTCATTATTCGCTCTAGTCGCGTTTTATGCAGCTATTTTACTAGTTTGGCATATCATAAACTGGGCAACGCTATTTCCTTCAAAGAACGCTTCGGCAAGTTTTATAGAGCAATTGCAACGTATCGGTTGTCTGTGAGTATGATGTTTCACTTTCGCGCTTACATCAGCTTAAGGGTGATGACAGATTTGTACGAAGATATCTTTGTATAAGCAACTTAAGACTGCGGCTTTTTATTGTACTGTTTTCCGCGAAACATCGTTATCTCCAGTTTGAAGCGCTACCCTTGCATTTTTGTTTTGTTTGGCATCAAACTCGGTGGCGCCATCCAATGGGTAGCTCCGGCACACTCCCAGTTCTCGTATATTTCCTAACTTAGTACTCATCATTCTTTTACCATAAGAGTGAATTAAGTCTCACAGAAGTGGCCATTTCCAGAAGAATACGTGATTTCTCAAATACCTCTGAAACCCGACTCCTATAGTTCAAAACCGGAAGTGATTAGGGGCTATTTGCACACCGGCGCCACCACGTGTCAACTCACGCGAGAAAGAGCGAATAGTTACTTGAGGGTCATTGCATGTAATAATTTACGCACCTTCTGCTGCCTTTTAGGGACAAACTCTGATATGATACGATCGCTCAGACATGTAGCGCCGGGACTCCGTTTAGTTTTCGCCTTTTTGACATTTTTACTGCCCAAATTGATGTCCTAGATGGCGCATTCCACCACCCTCGTTGTTGTAAAGAGGTTAGGACACGCCAAAAATAAAACACGAGATAACTATACTGCTAGGACCCATGGTATGTTCCTATAATCCTGCTAATTTTGATTTGAATAGGGCGCGATAGTTTATATTTGTGCGGGACTCCGCATTCGAAAAGGCCGCGAGTTGGAGAGGTCATCCGTCCAACGCGCGATGTCTCCTTGCACGCAATCGCAGACTTGGCTCTCTCAGCGTCTCGCGCTTCAGCTTCCACGTCTACCTTCCACTTTTCGAAGACATGTGGAAGACAGGATGGAGACTTTGGGACGGAGTCACGCGAGAGGGAGTCCCAATTTTCCTCTGTCCCGGGTATCCCCAGCTGTATCGGTTAGTTTTACGTCATTTAATTTCCCCTGGATATTTTCCGCCAGTCTACCAATCTCATCTTTGTTATTAAAATGCAATTATCATCCATCCTTCCATTCTTTTCTGCAAACACCAGCCCTCCGGCTAAATCCGTCGCCCCCCCCCCCCCCCCCCCCCCCCGGGAGGGCGGGAGCTAGCCCTAGGCACCCCAACAGCACATGTTCTATTGTCTCGTCTTCTCCTTGACATTCAGCACACCACGTATCCATTATCTCATACTTTTTCCTATATATCCTATTCCTCAATACTCCTGTTCTAGCCTCCAATATCAACGAGCTCCCCCGTGAAATACCATACCAATGTCCCTTCCTTATTTCCTGTTTTCGTCCCTTATACATAGTTAAGGCTGATGTTTCCTGCGTTCTTTCCTCATACATCTTTCTCTCGGCTTTGTTTTCCCTTCTTTTTCAAAGAAGTAGTATCTTCCGCACCCACATTTAACTGTTGGTATTTGGTTTTTAGTTTTCGTGTTCGGTTTGTTCATTTAGAGTTCAAACTTTTCACGTATAGGTGCTTATATACCTTTCTCGCCCATCGTGTATCCTCAATTGCGTCCAGTCTTTGTTAGAATTTCAACTTACTGATCACTAGCCTCGAAAGATGCCCAGCCCATGTCTCCCTGCACTCCTTGATTTGGTGTATTCCCATGCGCCCCCAGTGCCCGTCTGCCCAAGCTCCTCTGCCGGGTCTCTAAGCTCGACTGGACGTCAGATTTCATGCTTAAGACCGCATTGCCAAAAGACAGCCCCGGCACCATGACTCCTTTCCATATTCCCCTGACAACTTCAAATTTAGTGTAATTATGTAGTGCCATGGTGCGACTAACCTGAGCATGTTGCTTGGTTACCAGACGAAAATAATTAACATTCATACATTGAATATTGCAATCACTATAGCTCTAAAAATCGCGCAACTTTGTGTAGATACGAAGTAACCTATCATCATGCCCTTTTAATAATAATGGACCTGTTTAATTTTCATGTCCTAAATCATTTAACAGAAGCCTTTAGGATGAAATAAAAAATCAGAGGAGACAAGATAGCAGTCACGTGTCCGTTCTGACTGTATGGCACTCTACAAATGCCTACGTAGGCTTCAAGGAACGTCAGGTCCCAAGTATTTTCGAGTATCTTCAGACATCAGGCGAATTCCCATTGTCCACGGTGCAAGCAAGTATTACAGCGGTTCTGGTTAAAGGGACAGTTGATGCTAAGACATGTTTAGCTCTGCCCTCATGAGACAGAAAACCAAGTTGACTTACCTCGACAACACACTAGGAAGATACAGCGAGGAGGCTTCTGAAGACGGATGTGGTGGAAGAGCTTTTATGCAGTGCCGTTAGGACGGAAAGCGCCCTGCGATAAGATAGCGGGTAAATTGTATGCTCAAAGGAATAACCCCAGACATGTTCAGCGTTGGACAGTGATTATCAATGCCTTGTCTCGTTGTGTTTTCACTTTTTTTTTAAATTCTAGCTCATATACATGGAGCTCAATCGGGAATCCCGGCCATAAGCCCACACCTTCGAACTGCCAAATATTTGGCTCAGTTTTCGAAACATCTGCCAAGAAACAGACAAGACCAACTTTTAACGAGAAAAGAGTCAAAGTACAGGCTAGCTGGTGGAAGTCAACCATTTCGTCGTTTACCCTGAGACTGGGGTTTTTTTTTTTTTGAAGAGCAGAAGAAACAGGTTGAGACCTGTCTGTTTTTTCTGTTTCTTCTGCTCTTCAAAAAAAAAAAAAAAAAAAAAAAAAAAACCCAGTCTCAGGGTAAACGACGAAATGGAAGACCAACTTATCGTCCCTTTCTTTTTTAAAACAAAATAAAACGTCTGTTTTTAGAGATACAAAAAGAATGTGTACATCTGGGTCGGCTGAATTCACAAGTTATGCGATGGTTCTAGACACACAAAAAGAACGTATACCCTTCGACTGACCGCAGTGTTCAGATCATATTTTGTGTGCTTTTGTTTTCATTGCCTTAGCATCAACGCTTGTGTTATTTCTGGTGCTGATACACACCTACAAGGACTTGAAGCTCGAGGGTTGTCATATACAACTGTGTTGCCGACGGGGAACAGCGAGCGTTTTATACTAGCTGATATTCGGAAGAATTCAGTCATTGAATTCTGAAGCGAAAGCCAAACAGTAAACACAATTAAAAAAAAAAAAACTTCCTAGAGTTAACGCTGGTTGAAGAATCAGTGCCTATATACGTCAACTTCTGTCAAACACGAATTGGGATTTGATGCAGTTTGTGTTTGACAGAAGTTGCCGTTGACACTTATTCTTCAACCAGCGTTAACTATAGGAAGTTTTTTGTTTTTTTTTGTTTTTTCAATTGTGTTTATTGTTTGTCTTTCGCTTCAGAATTTAAGCATTGGATTCTACCGGGGAACACTAAGTAGAAAGCGCTCGCTGTTCCTCGCGACGGCAACAGAGCTGTATATGACAACCCTCGAGCTTCAAGATGTCACGACACTCAAACACCATTTGGGGAGCTTCATTTCGCAACCTGTTTTAGCGAGACATCTGTGTTTTTATGACTGTGTTGGCAAACTGGACACGTTATCCGCTCATCATAGCGATACTTGTTTTGGCCACGACTACAATACATGTCAACTCTTGGAGTTTCCTCCGAGAAACTTTGAAATGTTAACAGCTGAAAGTCCAGTTGTCGAGACTCAGCACAGATGTTACACCTTGTAAAATGAGGAGTATTGCATGGTTGCCGAAGGGTTATTCATTTTAGAGACTAATCCCCAGCCAATCATAGAATATATAATTGCATATTGTCGGCTTTGGCACAGGACGACATTGCTGCTGGTGCTCTGGCCTTGACGATTTGTTGGGAAACACCCTTAGCCCGGTTGTGACAACGACTTTTTATTAATGCGAGGTTGTGTTTCATGAACGGACGTGTCAGATGAAGCGCCGCCCACGACGTTTCCCCGACGTTTAGTGGACGGTGACGTGTATTTCACTGAACATTGCTTATAAGCATTGACTTATACAATAAGTATTAACCAAGTTGTATGCGCAAGTTGTATGCGTGTGGCTTAAGGAAGATAAAAAATGGTGGCGTGCTAAGGTACATTATTGCGAGCACTAGGGTGGCATATCAGTGACTTCGAAATAATACCAGAATATTACGTATTTGTTGGAGCGAGACGCCCACTGAACTAAGGAAACTGGCGATTTGCTCGTACCCCATGGCTCCTCCATTAAGGGTACGACCAAGACAAGGTCCCCTCGAATCTCCTGATTCCTGTGATGGTATACGAGTATGTTATCTCGACGAGTTTGCTTTCGGAAAAATCGAGAGAAGCCCAGCACATCAGTTAATTTATAATCAAACGAAACGATTCTTCAATTCAATACTTTCGTTCATCAAATAAGACGCCGTTATACAGAGCGTTTTACCAAGGAAAATGGTCTCGAAACGAGTTCTCGCGTTTCGACGTATACTCCCATCATCTGAAATTTGGACACCTTCTCATCGCTGGGGAACCTTTGAAAAATTAGAGAGTTCCCAGCTGGTATTAAAAATATAAAATATAGGGCCTTCAACTGCATGCTGGTGCTGCTATAGCAAACATACAGTCCCCAACTGTTACTATAGCAAATTCGGAAAAAACAAAAAGTAATTTCTTAAACCTTGGGCATTTATTTCCGACCCGTGCAGGCATTATTGTGCAATAATATTAGGAGTGTGACCCGTAAAGTTCTTAGGGGTTTGCGTGCCATTCACGCGAACCGATAAGAACCGTCAAAAACAGGCTTGAAAAAGAGCCTTTAAAGTATTGCAAGGGGAAAGCGATAAGACAGACTACAGGAAGAAGATGTGACATCATAGGCTATATCATGGGCGTATTTTGTCATCTCTTTTGTCGCCTCTATAAAAATACGTCACTTTATTGTCACATTATGACGGGGAACGTAGACTCTGCATGTCCCTGCACTCATTCTTGTCAAAAAAAATAAGAAAAACACTGCATTATTTAAATGAAATTTTAAATCGAAATTTAACTATAACCAGACAGAATATGCATCGTGGCACACACCAATGCACATATCATTTAATCGTTTTATTCGTGTGACTTTCAGCCTACGCAAATCGAATATCATCCGACTGCCAAAAGTCCATTAGATTGGTACCCTTGGATTTTTCTTCAATTGTGGCGCGCATTCGCTGGAACTGCTCAGGCGTGAAATGCTCTTTCCAGTCGCCCACTTTGCCTTTTCGTACGAAGTTGAATGTCGCTGGACCGTTTTTCTGCGCTTGCTTAGTGGGGTCCGAGATGTCGGTCGCCGGATTCCGGTTAGTGTGGAAGGTAGCCATGAGTTCCTTGAAGTCCACTTCCATCACTTTCTTCATAAACTCGGGACTGCTCTTTCGCAGCACTTTCTGGAAAAGCTCGTCACTCTGTTCGAGCAGCCGCCCGTAATCCTCTCCCAAAAAGTAAGCCAACGCGAGCACGCTCCCGGGTGTGTCCTTCTTTAGCGCTTCGTAGGTGATGAAAAACACATTGGGTTCATCCTTGCGAGAATACCCGGAGAGGACATGATCGAAGTAGTTCCCGTAACCGACGTACCCCTTCATGTAAGCCTCGAAGAACTCGTCGAAAGTGCCGTCTTGGAATTCATACAGCGGCAGGCTCCTGACGTGGTGGTAGAAAGACACGCAGCAGTCCCACGGGTTACGCGCCACGTAAACGTACTTGGCGTTCTTGTTGAAGTTTTCTCTTGTAAGCGGGAAATGGGTTCGTATGGTTCTGGGGCAGCTCATACCTTCGAACGCTTGCTCTCCGTGGTACTCGAGGAACGGAGACTTCTTCACGAATTCGGAGAAGTTCGCCACGGACTCGCCCTTGTTGAGGATGAGCTGGGTGATCTGCTGGACCCAGTGAGTTCCTGACTTTGGATAGGTCACCTGAATGATGTCTCCGTCGCGTGGCTTGAAGCGGAGCGCCGCACGTACGAGGCCGGCGTCCAGGAAAATGCTTCTCGGCTGGCCGCCGATCATCTGGACCCGGGGGGAGCGTCTCGGGACACTCATGCCTGCGTTGCGCTCGCTCGCTATTATTGCCGCCTACCTGGGCTCCGGGATTCTTTTATACACGAGTGCATTCTGGCACTGGGCGCTTATCCACGCGATTGGCTCGCATACTCGGGGGTTCCACGAGATAACATTAACGCGCGCGCAGCGGCTTGTTGTGTGCAGCTCCACTGGGTGCTTCATACAGGGAGGAAACGCGTTTTTATTTTCTTCTTCCTTCGCTCGAAACCACGCGAATGCATATTCAAAAATATCGATTTCTTCGACGTACTTTATCAATCTGAGGTAAATCGTGGCTTTTATATATATATATATATATATATATATATATATATATATATATATATATATATATATATATATATATATATATATATATATATATATATATATATATATATTAGTAAAAATTCTTAGCAAATATTATACCATATAACAGCAACACCAAGAATGGCGTTTTACATTTTTCAGTAGAACGGTATTATTGTAAGATATCACATAAGTCATAAGGATCAAGAGAGGTCGTCATTTTTCTTTCCATCGGTAGTTTTGTTTGTCTGTGCGTACAAGTGTATGAGAGATTGCATGAGTGTGTATGCGCTTGCACTCGTGGCCGTACGTACCTGTATACGTGCGTGTGCCTGTGCACGGGCACGCATACGTTCATACAGCGGCCACGACCAATCCGGGAAGGGTCCCAGTCGTGATGTGACCTACCTCATGTTGTCAGTAGTACAAGGGGTATTCAGGCATCCGCGGAGTAGCAGTGTTGCTGTCTGTGCTCGCATGCACCTCAAAAAGAGTAGTAAAAAATATGGCAAATTTCAAGGCATTTCTGTTGCATACGTGTAACGTTCTAACATCACAAACGTTTAGCGATACTGAGTTTCACGTATGCAGGGCTGAGAACCCTGGCAATGTTACAGAGCCTTCCATACCAACACCGCCAAGAAGACAAAGCCGCAGTGCTGCCATTCTTGCGTCACCAGCGAAGGAACGCTGGACACAGATGGGAAACAAGTGCTGCGTCAACGCTCGGCTTCGAGTCAAGTCTGAGTCGAGCGTTGACGCAACCGTAGTGTCCAAAGTCACTATGGCTCTGTTATCTAGGAGGTGTTGTCCGTACTCTCGAGATCCTCTTCCTTAGTGCGCGCAGGTGGTCGAGGTTCTCGCCTACCCCTCTGGTCACGTGACGACGTCCCCCGTTAACCAATCAGCATCCAGCTTCGCGACCACGCTTGTCAGGCTTCATGAAATGCAGCACTCTAAAAAATGTGTTTGTGTCTACTTTCGCAAAGAACACTCGGAGAGCCAAACAGCGCAACTTACGGAGGCAGCTCAGCGAATGACGATGCAGAAACATATGTTTAGACCAAAAAGCGCAGTCTGAGTTGTGACATTAAGCAATGCAAGCGTGACGTTTTGCATTGCTTAATGTCACAACTAAGACTGCGTTTGTTGGTCTCAACATATGTTTCGGCATGGTCACTCGCTGAGCTGCCTCCGTAAGTTGCGGTGATTGGCTCTCCGAGTGCTATGCGTGAAAGTAGACGCACAAACATTTTTTTATAGAGTGTGAGCACCTAGCCAAGAAACGCTTCACGTTAAACAATTTCGGCGTCTCGCGGAGCATTACTGAATTAGTCTTCCCTGTGGTGAATTAAGATATCTGTAGGTGAATTTTAGATGAGCTTGCCGTTATTTTATTAAAACGAACACGTTTGAAACGTTGAAAGGATCGTTTCTTTTTCCGACATTCAAATCTTGTAAGAACTTCATTTCGTGCAGCGCATATGAGTAATGCGCGAAACTTCCTTTTTTCGTTCTGTGACGAGCTGGTATCTTTGGTGTACTAAAACAGGAGCATTTATAGCAACGATTCGTATCGATTCCGGTCTGTCACTCCGGCTGATAACAAAAACTTTTTTTTTTTTTTTTTATAGACTGCGTTGTGAAGAAAGATCGCCTCAAGGTTTCTCAAGTGTGCCGGGGTCGTTTATGGTAGTAAAATAATGTTTCGTCGCTGTCGCCATTGGTTCTGCAGTAGGTGATCTGACGTCAGGCGTCGTTTCTTGAAGTCCAAGGGTGGTAAGAGTTGAGAAACGTCTTTATATTGAGGCTGCTCTTGCCTCCAGCATCGGCGGGTTAATTTGGGGCAACGTATGGAAGCAGGGCCCCCGGTCCTCCGTTTGTCTTGACGAAGTTATAGACCTGCTGCCACAGGGGAGATGCACCGTTCCGAGCGGCAAGTCCTGGGGCAGAATTCGCTTCTCGTAGCTTTCAGGTTTCTGGTCTTGCGGTACCTCCGAAAGAGTTCGTTTCCGGGCTTTGGAATACCCTTTCTTAAATCTTCATTATGTTATTTTTAATTTAAATCAGTTTATAACGTCTGCAAGGAAGGCATCAGTGTTATACTGGGTGTTAATTACAGACGGGATAGCCATGCCGGCGTCGGCAGTGCCAATGTGCCAGAGTCGCCTATTTTGAATTATGCCGCCACGGAGGAAGACGCTAGAATATAGCTTGAGTTGTGCTCACGGGAGGGCGCCACAAATCTTTGCACTTCGATTTTTTTTTTATTGCATTTATATATTTATTGTTATTAGAGTTTTGACACAAAGACAAGGTAGACAGGGTTGGAAAAGCGCGTCTTGAACAGGTTTTAGCGGAACAAAGAAACGGATACGAATAGTACTAGAATGTGTGGCGAGTGTGGTAGAGTTGGCGACAGTGGACAGTTGTTGTTGTGTGTGGCGGGAAAGAATCAAAATATATACTTGTTTTACCTTTATTGGGGTGTTACTTTATGTTTTAATGCATTCGGAGCGATAGAGAGAGAGAGAAAAAAAAAGAGAGATGGACGTTGAAGAAAAGGGAAAAACGTCGGTCCATAAAAAAGTTTAACCGAGCTTATGCACCCACGTTACATCCACGTGACCTTGTCATATGCGAGTTGGGTGGTTGGTTGTAGGATATGGCCGTAGCATTGCTCTCGCTTCCGTACGGTATGGTTTACGTGAGCGAAGCGAAGGCCCGCGAGGCCCTGAAGCTCCGAGGAGCAGACGACGGACATCGCGGTCCGTCGTGCCACGGTCCCACTGAATGTGGCAGTTTAGGTATTTTTCGGCAGGTCATTACTCATCTCCTTTTGAATACTCTTTAGTGGGATTGATGTCATTCGAAAGGCAAGGCAATCCTCTTTCATTTGATATTATGTATGTGTTGGTTTTTACTGTTCATACGCGTTTGTAGCGTTGCGACTATGATGGCGCGGACTCTCACTTGTTACGTTAGTTCATGTTTTATGAACGATCCATTAAAGATAACACGGTTCCAATATATCAGTTTTGTTAAGATGATGCCGGAGCAGAATGTAACGATACACTTTTTTGGTATTTGCACTACTTTGTTTTTTTCATCCCTCCAAATATTGCCCTAAAATTGACATTTTTCAGCACAAATAAGTTTTTAATGACAAGCGCTAGGGCAATAAAATTAGCTACACATGTAGTGCTTACAATTGGTAACATGCAGTAAAAAAATTAATGTTGTGTAAAATTTTTTTGTTTAGATATTTTATATCAAACGTAGCCCTTTTTTGTGCTCCGAGTCGTGGTACTTCAAATGCCGCTGAGCAAATAATAAAACTATGATAAAATCTTTTATAACATTTAGAGCTACAATGATTGCCCAAGAGGTGGACGATGGATTTTTTTCATTTTCAAAGTCATAACGCTCCAGGAGCCCTTCAAACTTATCTGTTTTTGACGCATATCTTTTTTGGACATCAGACAGATTTATTGGCATCTAATAACATTTATTGTTTGAAATAGATATACATTGCGATGTATTAAATTTTCACAATGATCTTGTCTTGGTTTCTTAATAGGTGTAGAGCTTAGCTAATTTTAAAAACAATTAAAAACTGTTTGGGTGTTTTGTTGCGCTACCTGGCGGATGGCAGACAAACTGCTGATTTCTAGTGTTCAAAAAATTTCCGAGGGCGGCGTTGGCGTCTGTATCATCATCAATCTCCGTGTCTTTTTACCCTCACATTTAAATAATATATTGAAATATTTACTCTCGATAACTGAATGGTTTAAGTACTGTGTCAGGCTAATAAATATAAGACAAATAATTGCACAAGCTTAGCGTGATATAATGTGTTCACTCTTCTATATGATTGAAATCAATAAACACTGAAGACGAAGAGGAAAAGAATACACCCGAGTTCAATTTATGCCTAGAGTCACTTAATGCGCTCAGAGCCGTATATGTAGAGAGTTTGGCCATTCGCTGGGAAGTATAGGAGACAAATGAAGCGGCGACATTGGCCGAAAGCGGGCTGGGCGTGTTCCCAGGGCGTCTTCAGAAATTCGAATGTGACCAACCAGAAGCCGGAAATAATACCCTGGCGGTGGTCGCGAGAAACAAACCTGATAACTGCATTGGAGTAACTTTCGATGGCTGAAAATATGGTACACGTGATGTTTCAATCACACTCATCTAAAATGATGGTGGAAGAGTGCGACTAGCGGAAAGATCGACACAATCCTTACGCCAAACGCCGAGCGCCGGGAATCTGCCGTCAGAGCGGTCACACTCTGTCCGCGCAAAACAGAGTTGAGCGGCGCCTTCGTTTCTTACATCTTTCTGCATGATCATGATGAAACAACACGTGCACCCTATTTTCAACCACAAAGAGTTACATACACTTCACTCTTACGCACTTATTAAAACCATATACGAACAGAGACCTTCGATGATCGATCGGCTCAGAACTGTTTCTCGCTAGCACCGCTAGGGGATTCTTTTCGGCTTCTGGTTGGTCAAGAGAGCATGCCAAGCCCTCTTTCCGAGTCTGCCGCACGCCCTGGCTCTGCCCGCGCCTCCCATTGACCAAACTCTCTACATATACGGCTCTGAATGCGCTTTAAGGTATCGGCACTCCGTTCCCCAAAATTGTTTTGGGCGCCGCCATTTTGGTTCTTGCTCAGAGCAAACGCAACTGCCGATCATCATGATCCAAAAG